GGGCGGTGCGTGGCGTCCCCCCCCCGCAGGGCCGGAGGAGGAGGGGGATGGCTACGAGACGGACCACCAGGACTACTGCGAGGTGTGCCAGCAGGGGGGGGAGATCATCCTCTGCGACACCTGCCCCCGCGCCTACCACCTCGTCTGCCTCGACCCCGAGCTCGACCGCGCGCCCGAGGGGCGCTGGAGCTGCCCCCACTGCGTGAGCACGGGGGTGGGGGGGTCTTAGAGGGGGCCCTGAAGGGGTTTGGGGGTCCCTGGAGAGGTTTGGGGGTCCCTGGAGAGGTCCCTGGAGTGGGGGTGTGGGATCTCGGAAGTCTTTGGGTGTCCCTCAAGGTGTCTCCGGGAGGTTTGGGGGTCCCCGGGTGCCGTTCTGAGGGTGTCCCAGGAGGTTTGGGGGTCCCTGGAGGACGTCCCCAGGAGGTTGGGTGTCCCTGGAGGAGGTCTCCAAGAGGTTGGATGTCCCCAGGAGGTTTAGGGTCCCCAAGTGGCATCCCAGGGGTGTCCCCAGGAGGTTTGGGTGTCCCTGGAGGACATCCCTGGGAGGTTGGGTGTTCCTCAGGGTGTCTCAGGAGGTTTGGGTGACCCTCAAGGTGTCTCCAGGAGGTTTTGGGGCCCTGGGTGCCGTTCTGAGGGTGTCCCAGGAGGTTTAGGTGTCCCAGCAGGACATCCCTGGGAGGTTGGGTGTCCCTCAAGGTGTCTCCGGGAGGTTTGGGGGTCCCCGGGTGCCGTTCTGAGGGTGTCCCAGGAGGTTTGGGTGTCCCAGCAGGACATCCCTGGGAGGTTGGGTGTCCCTCAGGGTATCCCCAGGAGGTTTTGGGTCCCTGGGTGCCGTTCTGAGGGTGTCCCAGGAGGTTTGGGTGTCCCTGGAGGCCGTCCTCAGGAGATTGGGTGTCCTCAGGAGGTTTAGGGTCCCCAGGTGGCATCTCAGGGGTGTTCCAGGATGGTTGGGTGTTCCTGGAGGACATCCCTGGGAGGTTTGGGTGTCCCTCAGGGGTGTCCCCAGGAGGTTTAGGGTCCCCAGGTAGCATCCCAGGGGTGTTCCAGGATGGTTGGGTGTCTCTGGAGGATGTCCCCAGGAGATTTGGGTGACCCTCAAGGTGTCTCCAGGAGGTTTGGGAGTCCCTGGGTGCCGTTCTGAGGGTGTCCCAGGAGGTTTGGGTGTCCCTGGAGGATGTCCCTAGGAGGTTGGATGTCCCCAGGGGGTTTTGGGTCCCTGCGTGCCCTCCCGGGGATGTCCCAGGATGGTTGGGTGTCCCTGGAGGACATCCCCAGGAGATTTGGGTGTCCCTCAGGGTGTCTCAGGAGGTTTTGGGTCCCTGGGTGCTGTTCTGAGGGTGTCCCCAGGAGGTTTGGGTGTCCCTGGAGGACGTCCCCAGGAGGTTGGGTGTCCCCAGGAGGTTTAGGGTCCCCATGTGGCATCCCAGGGGTGTTCCAGGATGGTTGGGTGTCCCTGGAGGACATCCCTGGGAGATTTGGGTGTCCCTCAGGGAGTCTCAGGAGGTTTTGGGTCCCCGGGTGCTGTTCTGAGGGTGTCCCAGGAGGTTTGGGTGTCCCAGCAGGACATCCCTGGGAGGTTGGGTGTCCCTCAGGGTATCCCCAGGAGGTTTGGGTGTCCCTCAGGGTGTCCCCAGGAGGTTTAGGGTCCCTGGGTGCAGTTCTGAGGGTATCCCCAGGAGGTTTGGGTGTCCCTGGAGGCTGTCCCCAGGAGGTTGGGTGTCCCTCAGGGTGTCTCAGGAGGTTTTGGGTCCCCGGGTGCTGTTCTGAGGGTGTCCCCAAGAGATTTGGGTGTCCCTGGAGGACATCCTGGGGGGTTGGGTGTTCCTCAGGGTGTCTCAGGAGGTTTGGGTGTCTCTCAAGGTGTCCCAGGAGGTTTGGGGTCCCTGGGTGCTGTTTTGGGGATGTCCCCAGGAGGTTTGGGTGCTGAGGTGGGGTGTCTCTCAGGAGAAGGAAGGTGTGCAGTGGGAGGCGAAGGAGGAAGAGGAGGAGGAGGAGGAAGAGGAGGAGGAAGGGGAGAAGGAGGAGGAGGACGACCACATGGAGTACTGCCGCGTCTGCAAGGACGGGGGGGAGCTGCTCTGCTGCGACGCCTGCGTCTCCTCCTACCACATCCACTGCCTCAACCCCCCCCTGCCCGAGGTCCCCAACGGAGAGTGGCTCTGTCCCCGCTGCACGGTACGGGGACACCACGGGGACAGTGGGGACGGGGACACCACGGGGACATGGGGACAGGGGAGATGGTGGGGGACCAAGAGAGGGTGGCTCTGTCCCCACTGCATGGTACGGGGACACCACCAGCCATGGGGACACCTTGGGGACATGGGGAGAGTGGGCATGGGGACACCACGGGGACATGGGGACATGGGGAGAGTGGGCATGGGGACACCATGGGGACAGGGGACATGGTGGGGGACCCAACGGAGAGTGGCTCTGTCCCCACTGCACGGTATGGGGACACCACCAGCCATGGGGACACCGTGGGGACATGGGGAGAGTGGGCATGGGGACACCATGGGGACACGGTGACAGGGGAGGTGGTGGGAGACCAAGGGAGGGTGGCTCTGTCCCCATTGCATGGTATGGGGACACCACCAGCCATGGGGACACCGTGGGGACATGGGGAGAGTGGGCATGGGGACACCATGGGGACACGGTGACAGGGGAGGTGGTGGGAGACCAAGGGAGGGTGGCTCTGTCCCCATTGCATGGTACGGGGACACCAGGGGACACCTTGGGGACGTGGGGATGGTGGGGGAAGAGTGAGTATGGGGACACTAGGGGACACCAAGGGGACATGGGGACAGGGGAGGGGTGAAGAAAAAGGGATGGGACAAGGAGCTGGTGGGGACAGGGACAAAGATGGGACCTGGGTGGTGATGGGACAAAGATCTGGTGGGGATGGGAGGGGGACCTGGTGGGGACAGGACAGGGATGGGAAGGGGACAAGGACCTGGTAGGGGTGGGACATGGATGAGACAAGGACCTGGTGGGGACAGGGACAAAGATGGGACCTGGTGGGGACAGGAGAGGGATGGGAAGGGGACATGGACCTGGTGGGGACGGGGACAAAGATGGGACCTGGTGGTGACAGGACAGGGATGGGAAGGGGACATGGACCTGGTGGGGACAGGGACAAGGATGGGACATGGTGGTGATGGGACAGGGATGGGACATGGACCTGGTGGGGAGGGGTTCAAGCCAGGACAAGGACCTGGTGGGGACAGGGACAAAGGTGGGACATGGGTGGTGATGGGACAAAGATCTGGTGGGGATGGGACGGGGACCCGGTGGGGACAGGGACAAGGATGGGACATGGGTGGGGAGGGGACATGGACCTGGTGGTGACAGGACAGGGATGGGGAGGGGACAAGGACATTGTAGGGGTGGGACAGGGATGGGACATGGACCCGGTGGGGATGGGGACAGGGACCTGGTGGTGACAGGACAGGGATGGGGATGGGACAAGGACCTGGTAGGGGTGGGGACAGGGATGGGACAAGGACCTGG